GTAATACGGTTAAAATACGTTAAGGTATTTTTAAAAATCTTTTAAAAATTTATTTTTCTTACTTTGTACAAATTCGATTAATTTTTAATAAAGTCTTTAACGTTCGAAAGGTTTCAAAGAATCTGCCTGAGTTTCTTCGTTTTTTTTATCACTTCATTTATTTTTTTTAAATACTTTATTTAGTTCCATTAGTTTTTATTAAAAACTTTCGTTCGGTTATGTCTGTTTATTTCACATATAGTTAAATAAAAAGTTTACCTTTACTTTGCTTAAGATTTATGTAATTTACGTGTTTAGTTTTCCCAAAATTATGATTGTTCCTGAAATAAGTAATGTATTTCTTATTCCATGAGTCTAGATAACAGATGCAAGGGAGTAAACTCATTCATTTGTTCAACTGTATGAAAATGGCCACCATTTTTTCCCATGGGTATAAATGATAAATGGTTGATGCGGTTTTTGCCCAAGGGAAAAAATGAACTCCATTCTTATACAAGTCGATTAAGTAAATGGCTTTCACTCCCTATCGTCTACTATCTGAAATTGATGCTTTTGTGCATTTGCAATGAAAGGTTTTGTTAGCATCACGAGGCCAAAACAGTCAAATTGTTTAGGTTGACGTTTGCGAGTACTCGTCGTTTACTTCTTGGACTCGACCACCACTCGTGCAGCAAACACCGACGTAAACAATGGCTGGCTTTGTTCCTTTGTTGTTTTAATACCAGGACACTATAAATGTTTTGAAATTATTTTAAAGATAATTTTACATCCATAAAAAATAGCTTACTCTCAATATAATATTATATTTTTCAACGATATTTATTTATTTATACAATCTTCTTTTTATTTTAATTATAAGTAAAAATTTTATAATTATAAGTATCCCCAATATAGCTTAATACTACAATTTATTATTAAATATTGCGTCTACAGAACAATGCTTAGAAAAAAAATTTCCCTAAATTACAATCGAAGGAAAAAAGTCTCTCGTAATTCTTTTAAAAAATCATTTAATAAAAGATTGAAAATCTGGTGGTTGTACAATCTGTTTTTGAGCGTCACTTTGCTTTATTGCTCACAGAAAATTTGAATAAATCAAAGTGTTATTTCTTGTGGCAAAAATAGATTTTCTGGGTTTCTACAGAATTAATCATGCATGTATCATATTGTCAGACAGTGACATGCAGATACTGAGAAATTTGTATGTCAATTAATACTAAATATAAATTTTATATCATCAACTGAAGATGTTATGATAATAATCAATCAGATACAAATACAGAATGGGTTGAAATTAATTTTACTTTTCATAGTTTATGGATCTTTTTCAGATTACGGATAATCTTCCTAATTCCCCCATTAGCAAAGGAATCCTAAAAATTCCTCAATATTTATTTTTGTCTGTTTTAATTGTCTATTTTAATACCTTAGTCAAGATAAATGCCCCTATTAATGGAGAATTATTCTTATAATAACACCATTCACAAAAATAAACTCAGAATATTAACAAAATGACAATCTTTCAAAACCTAAATATAATCAAAGTAGGTAATTGGTTAAGAAATCTGAAAGACATTAAAGACTCTCCGGAAGTAGTCGAAGTTGGATCTTTGGGTTCTAATTTCTGTTTTGCAAATTCCTCGATAAAAATTATCATATAAATCAATTGACTTTGACTGACACTGTGTTAGCTGAAGCGTATGGACTCCCAAAAATACACAAAGAAAATGGTCTACTTCGTTCAATTATTTCTTCACTAAATAGTCCTACACATTTTCTTGCAAATATACAGTTGTATTTTTTTTACCCTGCTCACTCATTAACAGTAGTTTAGAACTTAAAGCAAATGGAACAATTTTACTATGGACGATAATTACACTTTTATTTCACTTCAAGTAAGTTCTATCCTTACAAATAAGTTTCTTATGAGCTAGTCATTCAGAGTTTAGATGGACGCATTCACTCTATAAACCAGAAATTGTAAAATTCCTTTCTCTGTAATTGTTGATTGTACTAAAGTATTTCATAAATTTTTTCTTGATGGAAAATTCTATAGACAAATTTATGGTACACCGATGGGTTCTCTAACTTCAGCCTTCGTCTCAGATATTGTTATGGATGATCTGGAAACTGATTAAAATAATTTTAAAAAAAATTTTATTTCTTGAAGAAGATAATTCTGTTCTAAGTTAGATATGTGGATGACACAATGTTAGCTGTCAAAAAAGAACATGTTAACCTTGTAATTAATACTTTTAACATATAATCAAAAGGTTAACATTGTTATTGGTACTTTTGACTTTTATAATCAAAAGTAACAATTTACAGTAGAAGAAAAAAAGTTAATTCTATTAATTTTCTCAGTTTAAAATTCTACATAAAGAACAATAAAATCATCACAAATTGGTATTAAAAGCCAGACAGTCTCATTAATTATTCTTCAGATCATCCAATCCAACAAAAAAAGAATATTGTATATAATCTGGTTGATAGAGTGATTTCATTGTCCAACAAAGAATTCCATGTTACCAAATTAAATAAAAAATAAAAACCATTTTAAAAAAATAACAGCTATTCTTAAGGTTTTATTGAAAAACACATAAAAACTTTCTTTACTCTTCTCAGACGTATATGGACTCTTGTCTATAATGGAAAACCAGTAATATAACCTGCTCCTCATGATAAACTGTGTATACATATCAGTTCATTGACTATTCTTCTGTTTGTATCATTTTGATTTTCTTGGTTTAGCAAAATTTTAGTTGAAACTGAATCGCTGTACGGCAATGTCATTCTCGTTCATTTTATTTTTTTAAATAGGTCTAAGTAGAATTTAACAAATCAGGTAGGGTCCTATTAACTTTTATTAGTTTACCGAAAAATAATGTTTTAGACCATTTTGTAAATATTATAGTGTATATTTTTAAATATTTTCTGTTTTAATACATTTAGATTGAAGAGGTTGGTAAATCTTAGCTAACGAAACGTCACTTTTCTGACGATGAAGATTGTATTATTTTGAATTGTCACCTTACCATGAACATTTATTATACCAATATCAATTAAACTATGAAAAGACTTAACTCCAGTCACTCAATGAAGAAGATGGTTATCATATTCCTTATCAGACTGTCTTCCTCGAGGGGAGACTTGCTATAAAATTACAATTCGACCTTAATGTGTCAAGTAAATCCAATACGAATGTTTCATTATAACAGGCTGTGAAGCCTGGATCCAGTGATCTAGGATTGAGGCTTTAATCCGATTGTAAGACTTCGACGTCATTTAATTGCGATACGAACAGACAATGAGGAGATGTATCGTCAATATAAGGTGTTTCCAAGAGATCGAATCCTTTAATGATTAAATCAAAATGATCCAATGGCAATTTATCAACTAAACACTTTTGGTTATGGAACAGTTGTAGTTTAATTTTTTGTCAATACACTGTTTAAAGCAATTGGCATTTAATGAAATAAATCATTTTTCTTCTGATTGTGTTTTACATGAAAAAATTATGCTCGCAAAGGAAGTTGAAAACTTTTATATACTTTAAAATAAATAATGAGTTGTTGATGAAAAATAAGCACTACTTGATTAATGCTACCTGCATTTATCTTCGACAAATGTTAGTTTTTCATACTATTTCAGTGCGAGCTTATTTAAGATACTTTTCATGATAAAATCAATAATGAAATTATTATGAAGGGAAAAAAGTAATTTCTTATGCTCCCTGAAATTTAATTTTTATAAATTCCCCTTTTAAGAACTTTAAATCATTATTATTAAAATTTACTACAGCGTTCAAGTTGAGTATATATTTAATGCCGCCGGAAGTAATATATCCTCTTGACGATAAAATTGTTTAATTAGGTTCTGAAAACTATTCAGAACGATATGAAATGTCAAAAGTTACTTTATTATTGTATGATTTTTATGTTCGTGTTTCAAGAAAAAAACGATAAAGATCCGAACATTTTTCTTGTTTAGATTGCGTCGACACAAGAAACGCAATTTTACATGCTACGAACAACATGGATTATGTTTTGTGTTGTAAAATAGAAAAATTATGTATCAAATTTAAAAAATTCTTATTTTATGATTACTAAAATATTTTATTATTAATATTAACTTTTATCGAATCCTCCTAGTTGAAATGCCCAATAAAAGCCAACAAAATTCCTAACAGATGTAGGCTAATTCAAATTTATAGAGTAAGACATTATTTTTTCAATTATTTTTAATTTTTAAATTTACCTTCTCCCTAGTGATCATTTTCAACAATGTTTGAATCAACTTCCTTGAAGAAATCTCAGAAAAGCAATTTGAGATTAGTCTTGAAACTTAGAGACACACTAATGTACGAGTTTGAAATGGTTCAGATAAATTCTCAGAAAAAGTTTACCTAGAAATGAAACATTTACGGGAAATCGCTTTCTAAAGTTTTTTGGAAATTTTCCGAGAATGCTTCGGGAACTACTCTCGGAGTGACTTCGCCAAATTTCCTGCAATCGTTTCACGCTGATATTGGCTATATCATCCAGACATCCTAAGAGAGATTGTCATATGCGTTTTTTTAAATTCTAATCTAATTTTTATAAAAAATGTTTTCACTTATCATTAATTTAAAGAGATGATTGAAAAGTTTATCTAATTAGTCTAGTGGTAAAAAATTGAAATTGAAAATTGAACGAGAAGCTTACTCAGTCTTCCCCTTGACCTATCCAGTATCATATTTTTATTAGTTATACAATTTTAAAAGAAAATGGTAATTTTTCGTAATATATTTCAAAGTAAGTTCTTTTTAATCTCTCATTAAACTTAAGAAGTTTATTATTCAAGAACACAATTTCATTTATAGCAAGTGATAAAATGTTTCATTGATAAGATGATACAGTTCTTTAGAGGTCGACAAACTTAACTCTTGAGTAACTGAAGAGAGTATAAAAAAGCTCTTTGGAAACTATTCTCGTTGACGAGAGTTTTTGACGTCTTTACAGATACTTTGAGTCTGGGGAGCCGTACAATGGGCAGTATAGAGAGGCACTCAAACCAAGTTAGACCCCGACAGCAAATGCTCGATCACTCGACAGGGTTGAAGACGAAACTTGAGCCATCATTCGACTATTCTCAGACTACCAATGTCACGGCCCTCGTGGGCAAAACTGCCTATCTCACCTGCCGTGTTAGGAACCTTGGTGACAAAACGGTGAGTTAAAATTTCTTACTTGATTAATTTTTTAAACCATTTGAAAAAATACTTTTTTGCTGGCACCATTCTTTTAAGAATGTGATTAACATGTTGTTTAAAAAGATATTTATGATAAAAAATATTCTTAATAGTCTGAATAGCTTTTCCCATCGTAGAGTTACGTCTTTTAACGGAAGAATACTTCCTATTATGCATGATTATTTCAGACATAATTATTATTTTTAAAAGTAGGTGCATCGATCATCCAAGCCAACATTATAATTTTTAAAAACCAAATCATAATATATAATCGATTTTTAAAATAGAGTCCAATTTTCCACCTAGTTATGTAAACTCTTAAATGATTTCTCATTTTGTCATGTACATAATCAATTCTATTCAGCATCTCATTAAAATATATTACGTTGTGAATGCAATTGCAAGTGCGCCACAATCAACTCTATTTACTGGTTGTTAACGAACTGTCGAAAAAACTACTGCTGATTTAATAGAATGTAATCTGCTTAAATATTCTTTTTGATCTTCCTTCCAGCCCACTAAATTGATACTGTCATAAACGTATGATCTGGGTCCATCGTAATAAGTACAAATCTAATGACCATAATCGATTGAAACTACTAAAAAAAATATTCCTTTTATTTTTATTAATTACAATAGTTTGCATTTGTAAATGCAAAGTTAATCAACAGTGAAAAATAATTAATGAAACCATTTCGTTTTATTTTTTGAACAGTAATGTTCAAGATATACTTGGATAAAGTATAACATTTTTAAAAATGGAATTGTAATTTTTTTTAAATAAGAATAAATGTTCCGTATTATATATGAGAATAGACAATAAAGAACAGTCTTAAATAAGATTATGGTTCTAATTTTTTACAACTTTAAATAGTGAAAGTTTTTACATTTTAAGATGTTTTTATTCGTCAAAACGTGAATGGTGGTATAATAATTCTTAATGGAAGCCTGTTTCAATTAACTCTTGGATGCATAGGTTTTTGCTTCATTTTCATTTAATCTACTTTAGCAACTCTTGTTACTAACTACCGAGTACGAAGCTTATGATTCATTAATGATTGGCTCACTGTAACAAAAGACCATTACAAAAGTAGTTCATTAATAATTATTTTTAATAGTTTGCAGTTTTTTATAGGTATAAATAAATATAAATAATAGAGCTTACTTTTTTTCATAATAGGACGAAAAAATTCGAAAGAAATTTATGATGTGTATAATTAACAGGTATTGAACTATTATTGTACCAATACTGTTCATATTAATTTCCTTTGATAAGCGAATATATAGGGAATGAATATATAGGGAATGAACTTCAAGTATTGGTAATTGTTATGCAGATCATTATTTAATATGAACATATTTTTCATTAATGTTAGAATTTTTTGCTGATTAAGAATTATAATTGTAAAAGAAGATTTCGACTACATCAGCAAATAGTGAATTCCTATTTAAAATCGCATATTGATCATAAAGCTTTCCAGACGTAGATTTCCCTTCGCCTTTGCTACTGGTGCTAATATAATATGTTTGTTATAAAATCATAAAATGTATCAGTAATTAATTTTTTACAGAATATTCAGAAATTTGTATGCAAACAAAATGTAAGTTAAACCTAAATTAGACAAAAGTATACAAACATTTTTACGAAGAACTCTTGCATTATCTGCAATAATCTTAGTAGATTCTTCAATTTCCTGAGAGGAAATTCATCTTCTTTTGGAATTGGGTTCAAGAGAAAGATCTTCGACTGGTGTACTTGGTAGAAGAACAGGATTTATTATCTCCATAATTTCTAAATTGTCAGGTACATTGTCTTGCAAAGTTTGTACAAGCGTATTTGTCATTAAAAGAGAAGAATTAGGTCTTTTTCTATCTAAATTTTTGGAAACAACGTCTAAATTATCAGATGGAATCGATTGCATTATTTCATTTTCATCTGGAAATCCAATGACTGATTGAGATCCACTTCCTATAAGATTTAAAGTAGCTAGAAACTCTTCATTATTGTCATGTTCTTTTTTTAAATTTTCCGCAAGAAAGTTCTTCGTAGTCATCGTTGTTTATTTTTTGTAACATTAAATAATACACTTTTCACCTAAACAACGGAAATAAAACAAATACTTTCAGCACTTATCATTCAAACGATTTGACGCCTTCACTAGGACTAATTTGTCACTTTATGTCTCAGATCCCTCCGAAGCGTCTGATGTAGTTTTGGGGAAAACCCAATAGGACTGTAAGAAATATTATTAGTTCCAGTGATTAAATTAAATTTCATTTTCTGATCTTTTCTGATGTTTGCTTACGCAATTGGTTTAAGTATAGCTAATAAATAATAAAACTTAGTGTCTAAGGGTTTTTGATGTCTCTGTGTCTGAATTTTCAATGAAACATTGAATTAAAGAGTTTTTTGTGTTTCTATATAATACATATTAGAGAATAGTTTTCCCTAACATAACAGCAATGGGATATCCGGTATCATAATTTTCGGATGCTGTTAGAGTATGTTATCTTAGAAAGCAAAATAAGGAATCATTTTCTCTACCCTAGTAGAAAAATTTGGTGGCGCTAGTAAGGTGCCACTCTCGCACGCCATTGCGCTGTAGTGGCGCTGAGAGCATTTGAAACACTTTTGTGCTCTAGCACCTTCCTCGCATTCTGCTCGCAGTGCTAGAATGCGAACATAACAGAATGTATGTACATAACCTCACCTGCCAAAAATTTATTTCGCGAATTAAACAATTATTCTCATATGTCATTTCATTTGATGACTTTAAATAAAAGTATATATAAAAAACATTTACTAATTATCTGTTTACAATGGAAATTATACATATTTAAAGAATTAATTACACGTTTCGTTTTAATAAATGTAATCACACTTGTTAAACTTGTGGAATTATATATACATATTAGTTTATGAAAATTATCTCCCAAAGTCTAAATCATTATTAAAAAATCACTTATAATTTAATTGCAAAAGTTAAGTTCTTATTTAAAAGTTTAAAACCAACAAAACTGTTCTGAGAGGTCAATTAAAAATAAAGAAAACATAAATCCAGTTTGAGGTTACGTTTTCTAATTTGAATTTAGAGAAATTAATATGTTTAATTCATCAAAAGTATTTATTGTTATTCTTGGTGATAAATTGTTAGATTAATTACTTAAAATATTTTTTAAAATTTTCTTAGAGGTCGAATAAAACATTCACAAACTAAAAATTATTTTATAAATATGTATATGAATTAACGAAAGACCAAGAAATTTTTAATACATTATTAATTTATATTTAAATTTGATAAAAATTACAAATATATAAATACTTACATTTCCTTACTATTATTGTTTTTAAATGCCACAATATTCTACAAGCAAACATTTACTTTTACTTTGAAAATAAAAGCAAACACCTTTGACACTTTATGCAACAGAAATTTTAGGTTATGTTGCATTCTAGCGGAAAATGCTCGCGCCATGCAAGGCGCTAGAAGACGTCGGCGAGATAAACTGCCATACAAATTCCAGTGGTGGCGCTAGCATATATCTAGGCTTCCATTAAATTTTTCTACCTGGGTACCTCTACTATTATTTCAAATAAAATATCCCATTTATAATCAGATTTAATAAATAATGTAAAATTCGTTATTGCGAAATAATACATTTATATAATTTATTAAAATATATTTCTCAATAAAAGCGGACAATACTACATGTATTTTATGAAAACAGGTCATATTGCAAATTTGTGGATTGTATGGAACACGAGCTTTCAAACATGTTGGAAATGTTGATTTGGCTTTAGGCGTTTAAAGTTTATAGAGTGAACTGGATAGTTTGGAAGTAAAATCACAATCCGATTTTGAAACGATATTATTTTGACAATAACAAATTCATATTTCGATCCAACAAAACCAAAGCATTATAGCGAGTTCTAAATGTGTTTTGTTCCACATATTATTGTAAAGTGTTTGGAATATGAATTTTAAATTAATATTACATTTCATTTAATATGTACATATGGGTAATTCTCAACGTAGCATAAAACTTAGTTTTTCTCTTGTTTTGATGAAAATGCTTAAATAAATTTTATACGCTATTGCAAATCCAATGTAAATAATTAATTTCTGTACTTATAAACAAAAATTAATTGTTACTATTGTTTCTAACACTGTAGTAGCTTGTTAATTAATAGTAGCTTAACTCCTAACAACTTTATCATTTAAAATTTTCCCACTAAGTTAACAATACTGACTTCTCCTTTTTAACTTTTTTTTGAATCAGTTGTTGTTATTTCCATCCTAGAAGATTAATTTGCAATACAAACATTATAACAACATAGTGGACCTTAATAATTTAAATGTTAATTACATAAAAGTGAAATAAGTTAGAAATTTAGAATTTCAGAATTAGAGTGTTTTTTCAAACTTCCTTGATATTTATTTCTTTTACTGTGTACTCTTTATATATGCAAATCACGGTGAATTTCGTGGAACATACCCCGGAGCTAGTACAATAATTCTTAACGTTATAGATTGGAATCGTTGAATTATATTGATGTTTGAATTGCTCGCAGTTCCCCACAGTTGAGTTCTAAAAGTCCAGATTAGCTTCATTGTATACTTATACAATAAAAGTTTACTTTCTTAAGAAAGTTGTGATTTTCTTTCTAACATCCAGTAAAATTTCTTTAGCTTAAAACCCAATCAAAATATCTCAACATTTGAGTTCAATATTCTGTCAATGTTACCTATAATACCTTCAAACGAAATTCCATAAAATTTTCGAAGGTAATTTACGAGAAGTGTCTAATGGACTTTAAATTTGAGCGCTATTTAAATATAAAACCTTTATTTCTGAAATGAATACATTGGAAAAAAGCTTGATTACGTTTCAGCTTTGGATACTTAATGAATTTCAAATTACATTTTCTGCACTCTCATCTGCATAATTTTCCTGATAATCTGGGACGCTTTAATGAAGTGCAGGGTGAACGTCCTCACCAGGACATAAAGGTGATGGAAACTCGTCCTATAATGGATGATGGGACGAAAATCTGCACAAATTTATTTACAGAAAAAGAACTTATTACTTTTCCAAAGTAGACAAATAAAAAAATAGTTTTGATATTTTCGAAGAAGCTGATAGACCAATTGACACCGCGACTTTGAAAAATGTAACTAGTGACGTGCCCGAGTTACCTAATGCAGTGAATCGTAAAAATCTTGTAACAACAGTCAATAATGAACCTTAAATGATCCAGGATAAAAATGTACCTGCAGCAAGAACAAGCAATCCTCATAGCCCGACAAACATATGTATAATATTGTTATGATCTTATTTTTCAAATTTAATGATTGTAGAAAAAGGGCCTGTAGACGATAGTAGTCATAGTAGTAGAAATCAGAGAAAGAAAACGTTATAGGAGGAGACATCAAGAACTTAGTTGTCACCAGTAAGACGAGGGAGAGAAGTTTGAAAATTTGATGTTGAGAATCGTGCGGTCCTGTATATTACAGGTATAGCTCAGGGCATTGTTGACAAGTTTATTAAAGCACCAACTGTTTATTAGTAGTACACTGTCAGTTGTGAGAGATTATGGAGAGTTGAAAAGCGATGAGTGTTATTACAAGAAATTATCGTGATATATTGCATTCGATATATCTGGAGAAATTCCGATAAGATTTTTCTATTGAAGGTCATTTCATAGCTTTTCTACAGAAGGGGGATTAATAGAATAATAGGAAGTATTAACGCCGGTAAATAAATGTAGAGTAGGCATTCATCAAGGGAGAAGCATTTGTACAGCGGATTTAATCTGACTAGCAATGCATCAACGCTTATAATTACACAACCCTACCACAAGTTATATCAGTCGTGGGTTATTTCTCCCACTACCTTAATAGCACAAATAGGGTCAACAACTAATACTGTGCTGACGTCAATTCATACAATCACGTCAGCAACGATGATTCCAAACTTCTTAAATTTACTTGAATTTTGAGTGTAAATTATAGTTGTTGACAGAGATGAAAAAACTTAAGGAATATATGACAATAAAATAAATCGTCTGTATTCTGGAGAAGTGGGACATATCGAAAAAAATAAGACAGTCCGGTTCCAATTTTACCTAAAACATGAAAATTAGTTATATAGTATTTTCTTAGATTACCAGGATAAAAAGATAAACAATAACTCATATACCTCGACTTATACTGTCACCGTGGTGACTCTCTATTGTTGCTAATAACAGGAGATGAAGATGGATGGATGATGGCAGCGCTAGAGGAAAAAGGGACACTGGGATTGAAGATGCACATGCCTAATCATCAGCTGGACACCTAGAAATTGAAAAGAATTATGGTGTAGATACAATGGAGCTTCAGACGAATATAAACCGTTGGAAGTATTTGGTGTTATTCCAAGACTAGCTATACCGATAAATCGAGGTGAGGTCTTTAAGATCAAATGGGTAATCGATAGCAAAAGCTTCCACAGGGATAATAATATTTCGATGGGAGACATCATTGAAAAGGGCTCAGAACGAAGGGTGATAGAAGTTGGTAATCAGATCAAGAAGGTGTAAGAAAAACCTGACAATAAGATACAACATCGTCCGTTTTTCAAACCAAAAACATTGGTTACTATGTTCTGTAACGTAATATTTAGGGGACATGCTAGAGTGATGAGTAGGGAACCTAGAAATCCAAATAGATTACGAATTATTAGAAATAGATAATTGATCAGAGCTTTGCCGACTGGTATTGCGACAACTTTGTATTTTAATTAACGACGACTTCCTGACTGAATACACAGTTTAATTCTTAAGTTGGTGTTTTATTTATTGTTTATAATCATAAAGAGGATATTTTAACTCCTTTTACAGTTCAGTATTGAGACGCAGAGATGTATTTAAGATCGAATTAATATAATTAAATATTCAATCAAATCATTTAGACCAAGTTCTGTCCAAGAAATTCTCTATTGCACATAATCGTCAAAAATTTCAAATCTCCAAAATATTTCAGCGGGAAATTCTGCCAGGTCGATGCCGTGATGCAAAACGTTCCTTTGAACAATCGCAATCAACAACCAAATAAACTTTTAAAACTCGACGTTTAGACGCTACTAATATCATTCTAATCTCGCTAGTACTCTCCTCCGGTCCTTAATGAACGCAAACTCATTAAAACACAAACGTAACAAACAACAATTTATTAATAAAGCTAAAACAACGAGGATTGGGTTCTTTCTTCACCGTCCGTGCGCTTTAATAAAAGGAGCAGTCGCACAGCGAGAGCTACCACTTCACCCTTGATTGTCACATAGGAAACAAGTCTCAGATCCAACGGGGGCATCACAGTTTCACTGTTGTCAACATATCAGAAATTTGTATTCCTCTTGTTCCAAAATCTAAAGGTTGCAATAATTCCAATAATTCTATGTTCCAAAAACCAAAAGATCAAATAATTCTTGTTTCCAAATACCCATTGATGAGGTTTTGTATCTGCGATATTCCCTGGTAAATGGTGTCGTTTATTATTGTTGTCAAAGGAAAAAAGAATGATCAGTCAGAGCTAAAATTACATAATGATTCAGTCAGTTTCGTTGCAATCATTAAAAAAAATTTGTTCTAATTCCCTTGTAATTATAGCGGTAGTGAAATAATTTATAACACAATTAAATTATGCCCCAATAATGAAGAAGTGGAGTTCAATAGAAGAACAAAATATTTTTCTTTCAAAACTTATTTTAAAATGAGACAGTCATTTGCAAGTTACCCATTATTTATAAAAGTATATGCAAAAGTTATTTAAGGACTAAACGAAGATTGTTATAAATATTTTCCAGATAATTTTAATTCATGTACATACTATTATAGTAGTAGAACGGAATAAAATTTTTATTCTTTTGTGCTTAGGTGTCATGGATGCGAGGCCGTGACATACATATTCTGACTGCCGGAGGTTATACCTATACAAGTGATCAACGATTTCAAGCTCTACACAGACAAAATTCTGGACAAAACAGTGAGTGGTCGGAATGGACGTTATGTATCAAATGGGCTCAAGAACGTGATCAAGGGATCTACGAATGTCAAATTTCAACAATACCATTGATGTCGCATCCATTTCTACTTAATGTTGTCGGTAAGAAGTTTTATTTACTATGTAAAACAAAATCGAGAATATCTAGAACTAAATTTTTAAAAACTAATTTCTCGAGTGAAGATTAACAGAATAACACCTAAGATCAAAAAATTAATTCAAGAAGTTTTTTTATTACCTAAACGTTGTGACGTGGCAAAAATTTTAGAGAAACTTTGTAAACAAAATTTATTTATAAAATTATAAACAAACAAATTCCCTCGCGCCGATCAACAATGGCTGCAGTAATTTCTCAGTTTTAGGCAAATGTTTGTTTATCCAATTTATTTATTTATATTACTGTATTTTCTTTCATGAAAATATTATTGAGCAAATTCAAAATCAAGAAGTTTCCCGGTTATCGCCTTACGAGCTAAAAAGAATAATCATCACACCTGCGCAGATTCGACTTTCCGTTCACTCACAGCAGAAAACTACAACGTCAACCAAACGAAAATCGAATTGACACGATATACCTGTCACTTTTTAAATTCAACCTACCCAAAAGTCATCTCAAAAATAAACCCTTTGAGTAAATTAGAATTATTTTCTATATTTACCAAATTCTAATAAAACCTCAAAAATATTAAGAGATTGACTATTGAACAGGATGGTCCCTGTTATTTCTCTATACTGTAAAGAGACACCTTTTGCCCAGTCCCGAATTCTCATGTCACTAATCTCAACTTTTCCCCTTTTGATTTTTGATTAATTTTGACTTGTTACATTTACGAGTGACAATCAGAGAATTTTGGAGGTCGAGGACAAGGAAAATACGAATTGAAAAGTAAAAATTTCAGGAAGCGAGAAATTACAAATTTAAATATACCCTGGTGTCACTATTTTTGGCAGTAATTACGCTCCTGTTTTTGGCGGAGTAACACTAGTTCAGGACCATGGTAACCGGCGGGGTGAACGGAGGGGAGGAATCAAGGCAGCATGCTCATCAGGAAAATTCGTATCGCTCTCTTTAGATTTAGCAGCCTACCTGGACAGCAGTTCGCTATTCTATTCTTCGCTATCGTTCCAAAAATTTAATTTTCTAAGTTACTTTTTTTAAGTACTAAGTGTTCTTCTTGGACTTCTCGATTTCACCAATTCCAGCTTCGATCTTCGAAATGTCTTGTCTTCGAAATGTAAGTCTAGTTGCAACATTCCCTATTTTTCTTTTCTTTCGTGAAATATAATTTTCTTTCAACTTTTCTCTTATAATGTGATAAGTGGTTCAGCCGGCCTCATGGCCGAGTGAGAATATATTAATAGTTCGGTAATTTTCTGGTTTTCTTGCTCATTTTAACACTAAATTAATTCATTATTCCATTTATTTATTGAGAAATTCCCAATTTTATGGTTAAATATGTCCCATTAAAAATTATTTTGTTTTATGGAGTTGTCCCATTTATAATTATTTTATTGTGACAATAAAACTGTTGTCCCTTTTAATTAATTCATAAAATCTCATTATTTATGTGTTTGTCCTCTAAATAATGATTTATCCCTTATTTTGAGAAACTTAATAATTCAGACAAACTGTTTTGTCCTGTTTTCCCCAATTTTATGTGTAATATTTTTAGATATAAGTTGTAATTTTGCGATAACAATTTTGGCTGACCACGATTTATAAATTGACCTAGCGATACTGAGAAGGTTGTTTTGTAATTGCATATTAATTGTAAGATTTTTCGATAATTTGACTGTTAAAATAAATTGTTGATTGATTGTAAAATTTCTGAATATGATTTTCTCGAATCCTCCCTCCTCCGTCTTTTGCTAGTAGACCGGTATCGAAATTGATATTTATCTTAATAATTTTAATTAAAGGAATTTTAATAATTTTTTTTGTGTCTTTTCATAGAATTTAGTTCTATTACTTTTGCTTTTGTTTTGGATATTTAGTACCAATTATTTTGTTTATCTTGGATATTTAGTATCCGCATTTTTGAAACTGTCCCAAGAAAGGACTGGCGCTCAACACTATTGCCACACTTTTTAAAAGAATTTGGCCTGTTTATGTGACGTTCTTCACAATTGTTTTACTGAAACAGTAGGAGCAAGATGAGTGTAGCCACTCGACTACTCAATTTGCCTTCTCAGAAAGTGAAAATGTAAAACTCGGTTTTAAATTCAGTTTCCCTAATTTGGAAAGTATATATTCATTACGAGCAACCAGAATACTGCTGGTATTTCTTTTTAGTTTTTTTATTACCACTGTACCATCAGACAAAGTGGATTCAGCTGTTTCAGGTTTGAAGGGCTCGTAGTAAATAGATGAAGTTTCTCCAAGGGAATAATTAGAAAATATCTTTCGCTAAAGTCACTTTTCTGCAATAATTCAAGAGAAAAAAATATTAACAAATTGTGTTTACGTTTATTTTTTTTATCAATTCCATGAATTGTTATGTAAATTGTGTTTTACAATCCGACATACATGGATTTTTCCAGTGAGGGATCGTTCATAAATTATCTAAGACATTTAGGGGGGAGGGGTGTTTAGCTAAATCTTACAAACAATAGAAAAAATGGCGCTAATTTATTTAAATATCTTATGAGGAGGATAGGGGGTCAAATTTTCCACAAAAATGTCTTACGTGATTTATGGACGTCCCTGATTACCTGATGTTTTAGAAGAATATTAATGTTGCCTAATTGACTGTTGATAGTTCTTTTAAATAAAAAGAAAGTTATTAAATTGTTTATTAACTTATTAAAACTTCTATTATTTTCCAAAGTGTTTGCAAAACTTTTTAATATTATTATTCTGATATTGTTGCATCAAAGAGAATTCTCCTAATTTCCTTAAAATTACTAGTTTTAAATCAGTTTCTATAAAGAACTTGCTGATGATGAGGATGGGGGAAAAGTCAATAAGCAAGCTAACTTGTGAGAGAATATTTATTTATTAAAGAGAAAAAGGAAATTTAAAATTATATAGAAATATTTTTTTAACAAACTTCTTTGAAAGAGCTTGAATAATTTCAAAATCAGAGTTTTGCAGTGAGGTATATCTCCTTTATAGATCGTTATGGAACAGATATAATAGGTACTGAAAATGCAATTAAGCGGTAGACGGGACGTCGCCAACCCTTTTAGTCAATACTAGATTGATTATTGTCACAAGATACACAGTAGATGTTTGTAATGCTGGTAATACTGGTTCCAATTAGTATTTAAAAACAGTTTGTTACTTCAAGACCATTGCAATCATGTCACAAAATCTCTTCCTCTTATATAGACTTGAAAATGTCAATGGATAACTTGAACTGTTAGTATCATTCACTAACGGTTAATTATTCTTCACTTGATGGTAATTTATTCTCTTAACTTTCCTGAGTGCTGCGCCGTACTTATTTCAAATTCATCTCTCATTATTTCGTAATATGTCACGTTTTTAGGTGATTTAATTACACGGAAAAAAGTTCCTTTGTAGTCCACTACGTCTAATTATTATATGCATATATTGCGTTGACTACACCAAAAAAAAAAGTAATTTCATATTCAGAGAAAAAATCCTATTCTAATATCCTCTCAAACCAAAAGTAGTCTATTTCATTGTAGAATATTTTTATTCTTTGGTGATCAATAATAGAAGAAGTAAATATATGCTACTGTTAGGAATCATCTTTAATTTAAAATCTTACTTTTGATACACCATATACAACAGGAAAATATGCATTAAATTTAGAGGAATCAGCTGAAATGAAATATAATTTTTTTTAGGGTGCACAAGGTAACTGTAGTATAGCTTGCAAAGCAGATGCTACTTTGTAGCAAACACGAACTAAGTTTGTGGTAATCTCAGGAAATTTACGCATGAGTGAAGAAATTGAAGTATTCATCTTTTTACACATGTGTAGAGTTGAGGATTTCAGCCACGTTTATTCAAAGGGAATAGATAATTAAAATGTTAAATTAATGTAGAAGTTATTTTGAAATCATTTACTAATGAACGATTTCATTGAAAAACAATTCAGAATATGAAACTTCGCCTATTTAATAAAGATATTTAAACGTAAGTATATTTTCACTTAATTGTTTTTGAACATAATTCTAAATTTAATATTATTTGTAGGTATTTGCTTTTATACATTTATCTAATTTAAAATAAAGCCACTTTGCACAATTGGAAATGGTGAAATTCATAAAGAGAAAACAAATTAACGGTGCGCTGATAACGTCTACATAGGAGAACTTCTCCAAAACTAAGGAGCTTCATCATCGAAATGAAAAAAGTCTCAACCGGAATCTTCTGTTGAAAAGTATAATTCGAGAAAGCTTAGTAAATTTTATTTCTAATAAATTTAATCTTGATTTTAATTGTTTAATTTCTTTATTTTATGATATCGATTTACAATTAATTAACTTTACAATTTTTTTGAATTAATGAATTAAATTGTAATTTAAATTAATTCATAATGCATTTAATCGAAAACAATCACAAACGTTAATTTATTTCTTAAATTTACTAAATTGGTTTGTTCAATCAAGTTTTAAAATTCAATTATGTTTAATATTCTCCTTTGTAGATTTATAACAAAAGTGTTTATAATTATTGTACAGAAACTTATATTTTGGTTCAATTCTATCTGTATTATTAATTAATTTGTCAATTTTCAAATCTGGATTAAAAAATAAGCTTTACCTATATTTTAAAATAGATACCGGTTTTTTTTATTAAAACTGGAATTTAAAGGTAAATCTTTCTAGTATTCAGTATTTCAAGTTTTCTCTATTCTTATAATAATTTTTCTCTTTAAAGCAAACGACGCAGAATCTTTAGTCAAATTTTACTTCATGGAGGAATTTAACGAAAACAATTCATATCTATTACGAAATCGAAGGAAAGCCACTTCCTAAATCTTCTTCCGTAACTCCCGATATTGAAGAACCTCGTAACATTCATCGTGGTTGTAGGCATGACTCTTTTCCTTCCTTGAAGCGGTTGTGTGTGAGCTCATGTAGAAAATGTAAATCACTCTCAGCAGATTCTTTTGCATAGCGACCTC